ACTATTTTATTGTAGCCTCAATTTGGCAACGGAATACTTTTTCTGCGGAATTTAATGTGAATTGCGTTCTCAAAAGTTAGCGGATTTTTCCTTTTTCAAACTATTTTCGGTGTATAGGCAATTATTTCCAAAATATTGTTTTCTTGTTATTTTAGATGGCTTTTCGTTAATTTGGCTTTTTCGTCGTTTATATATTATTCTAGTAAGCTATTTACTGTTTTAGTTCTAGTATTTTTTATTTTTATTTGTTATTTTTGGAGAAACTAAATATGTTGCTGCTAAACACGAATAAAATTCAATCAAATGTTACAATTCCTAAGTTTAAATTTTAATTCTCTTTATTAGATTAACACTCTCCACGAACATCACTGAATTACTGAATTATCTTAATATCCCGGTAGTGATTTAATATCACAATTTATTTTAATGGATGATGCACTAAAAATGGGACTGCCGTTTAGTTTCGACGGAAATGTGTAATATATTAATTAAATAAATTACTTTAATATGTTCAAATCTAATAAAGTTGCAGGACTATAAATACAAATTTACTAGAGTATTTGAAAATCAAATTCTTTTCCGCAATCATTTCAAGTTGACAATTTGATTTACAAATACAATTATTGCTCAAGTTACTCCGTACAATTCGGATTTTAATGGATTCAATCTACCATTTAAGGTGGTATGAATCTTATGTTTTTTTTGTATTATTTAAATTGGTTTAGACTGACTCATCCTGACAAACTTTTGTATAAAAAATCTTATATTTTTCTGGTATTATTTAAATTGGTTTAGACTGACTCTTCCTGACAAACTTTTGTATAAAAAAATCTTATATTTTTTTGGTTTATTTAAATTGGTTTAGACTGACTCATCCTGACAAACTTTTGTATAAAAAATCTTATATTTTTCTGGTATTATTTAAATTGGTTTAGACTGACTCATCCTGACAAACTTTTGTATAAAGAATCTTATATTTTTTTGTATTATTTCAATTGGTTTAGACTGACTCTTCCTGACAAACTTATAACTATTAACAATTTTGTTGATGCTGCAAATTTTACTCCGTACAATCTAAATGGAACCTAATACAGTCTACCATTCATAATGGTACAAAAATTATCAACCACTAAACTAACAAAAAGTCCTAATCACCAATTAAAAAAATGCCCTCTAGAGAAAGAAAAAATAAAAAACCGTCACAGTTCCAAACTGTATTAAAAAATAAACCAATGCTTCAATAAAATTTCGCTCTTCCCCACCCCAAAAAAGTACAACAAATTCAAACCAAATAAAAATTGAAGATTTCCCTGCGTTTTATTGGAAAGTAAAGTGTAAATAATTTACATACACGTACGGCATGAATCTGTTCCCACAGAACATAAAGAGAAGCATACCACAGCACAGAAGCATAGGCAGCTATCGCAAGGTAGCTGGATCAATATTCCGTCCGGTCCATCCTCTGACCCATATCTCTCTTTCCCTCTTATTTACACTTAAGCATCATTTTTCTTATTATTCCTTTTTCCCCATTCATTTCGGTACATTTCTTGCAGCAATACAATCACTCAATTTTTTTTTCTTTTCTTCTCTTGTAAAACGTTATTCACAACAACAAAAGCAATGAATGAATGATAAAGTCAGAAGAAGAAAATGTCTTATTGATACGAATTAAGTCATTAATGTTATTTCTTTTCAAAGACAGAAATTGATAAACCCATGAGACATAAATCTCTTTTTGAGACAATAGAAGATTAAAATTTGTGTAAAGAGATGAAAAATTATAATTTTTGTTAAAAATCAGCACATCAGAGCGAGTTTGTAATTTACGATATAGGTGGTGAAAAAAAAACACTATTCTCTGATAAAATGTTATAGTTTAGCGCGCGCTAATCAATATGAAATGTCCATAGCGATATATGTTTGTATATATATGTATGTCTGTAGCGTGTCTTGTTATTTTACTTTGGTCATTCTATGACCTGATCTGATACCAAACAGTATGGATTAATACTTTTTTAGAAAATAAATATTTTCTCCTTTTATCCCTATGTATATTTTTCTTTTCCACTGTCTCTCTCTTTCTATATAAAGTTAGTTTTTACATATTATTAATGTTAATAAATCAATATTCAAATTATGGAGTATTCACAAATGTAAACAATTTTTCCGATCTTCCACATACTGATAAAAAATAATATATTGCCCTGGCAAAAGTAAACCTATAACCGCAAGTCTCGCACACTGATTTTAATGAAACTTTACAGATTCAATAAATTGATTCGAAAACATTTGTTTTTCATTAAAAATAAAAATAAAGAATATTTATTTAACATATTTAAAAATTTCCAATGATTTTTGTTCTTAAAATAATTCCCACCGAAATTCGCTACTAAAAAAAATTACTAGTACTATTTACTACATCTAAAATTTTCTACTTGCACCAAAAAACAATTTTTCTTTACCTATAAATTTTTTTTTACCTAACAATGATTTTTATTACTTAAAAATAATTTATAACTTATATTTTTGTCGTTATTAAAAAAAAAATCTTTTCGAAAAATGATTATTTGAGGACAAAAAAAGAAGAATATTTTATACTTCAATCTTTCTTCTTTTTTTGTCCGAAAATAATTGAAAAATTTCTAAATAATTCTAATCTTAGTAAAGTTTTTGAGAATTTAATTATTTTTAAAAATTATTTTAAAAAAATTTTTAAAAATTCATCAAAATTTGATTTTTAAAAATTTGAATAAAATAAGAAAATCTTTTTCAAAAAAATGTTTATCAAATTTCAACTATTTGAAAACTTTTTAATAACATATTTCGAAAATTTAAAAGTTTTGCTATAAAAATTTTAAAAAATTTGTTGAAAAATAATATTTTTTAAAAATTTATAGTGAACAAAACTTTTTTTCATTACAAACAAATTTAAAAGTATTCTTTTTCGTAAAATTGGGAAAAACAATTTTTTAATTAAATTTTCTATTTTCCAATTTTATTATTAGTCTTCTATTCACACTAATCAATTATAATTAAGACAGATTTCTATTTAGTCGACAAGTTATATCATTTAATCGACAAGAAATTAATGAAATTTGAAACATTTGGGAAATTATATCTAATTTATTAATTTTTTTTATCATTATTAATATTATCGTCATCATCGAAAAATTAATGTTCTGGGTGTATCTTTTTATTAAATTATTTCGTCCAAGTATGAAATAAGTTTTAGTTTTATTTTCTAATATTCCTAATTCTCAATATTGTCAAAAATAATTAATTGCTAATAAAATCTTGTAAATAAAATTAAATCCATAAAAATCGTTAATATTTGTTATTATTAAATGTTTCTAAATAAAATAAAATAAAAAACTATTTTTATTATTTTATTTGTTTTTATTTATTTTTATACTTCTTTTTAGTTATTTTTACATAAACTAATAATTAGTTATTTATATAGATAAATATTTATCGAAAAAAATTATTTACTAAAGAAATGTTTCTTCTAAAATATTTTTAAAAATTGAATTTTTACTCTAAATATTAAAATTTACTGAAAAAATTTGCAATTCAACAGAAAATGTAAAACAAAGTTTATAGCTGATTAGCATTTTTTTTCTTAAACCGAAAATCCATGTTGATATGATTTTTGATACTTCTTTTTAATAAGCAATTCTCACGAAACTTGAATATTTATCAAAAGATTAAAATAATTTGATATTTTATCGATATTGTGCCACAATGTAAAAATATATTTATATTTAATATATTTTATAATATATTTAATATATTAATAAAAATATATTAACAGAATAAAAAAAATTACAAAATACTGATAAAATTCTAAAAGTTTTTAAATTAAATTTTCAATAGAAAAAGGAAATTTCTAATTTTCCTTCTCTCTTTTTTTAATATTCGTATAGTAAGTTTTATAAATTAAATTTAATTAGTGTTGATTTATGTCATAAAGGCAAGCTAGGTTCCTATGTGAGATAAGGTAAAAACGCCCAGTTATCGTCAACTAACAGGTTTATGTGACTGAAATAAAACATTAAAGCACTAAAAGTGCGTTATAAACAAAAAAAAAAGAATTTAATTATTTTTTTTATGAATAAAAAAAAAGTTAACGAAAAAACTGATATTTTTTATAAACGCACGCAATTAAATCTTTCATGAAAAATGTGAGAAAAAAAATTTTTTTTTTAATCGTAAATAATAATGAATCATTTTTCGAAAAGATTTTTTTTTTATTGGAAAAACGGACTAACACAAGTTGTAAATCATTTTTTGAATAAAAAAAAATAAATTTTTATGGTAAAGAAATACACTTTCAGCTAAAAAAATTTTTTTAATTTAAACAATTAAATGAAAATTAATAAAACATAAAGAAAAGAAAAAATGATTTAAAAATACACTTTTAGCTAAAAAATATTTTTTTAGTTTAAAGAATTAAATGAAAATTAATAAAACATTATTTAAAATTAATAAAAAATAAAGAAAAAATGATTTAGAAATACAATTTTAGCTAAAAAATAATTTTTTAATTTAAAGAATTAAGAGATAAAAAATAAAGAAAAGAAAAAATGTTTAAAAAATACACTTTCAGCTAAAACAAATTTTTTTAATTTAAAGAATTAAATAATGATAATTAATAAAACATATAAAATTAATAAAAAAAATAAAGAAAAGAAAAAATGATTTAAAAATACACTTTCAGCTAAAAAATATTTTCTTTTAATTTAAAGAATTAAGAAATAAAAAATAAAAGGAAAAAAAAATATATTTTCAATACACAGAAAAGAGGAAATTGTGTTTGTACAATGATATTGAAATTTTCAAGGATCCGTCTTTCGGGATTAATCGAAAAGAAAAACTAATTAGACGCTCTCACAATATTATCAATGAATTGTTCTCCCCAATGTATTAGTGCTTCTTTTCAAGAGCTTTATATAAACAAACGAAAAGGGACTTTTATTAAGACTTTCATTCAATATCAAAACCCATCAGTTTCAAATAAAGTTCGAAATGGTGATCAAGGTGTAATATTCCCCTAAATATCACTTCGAATTAAATTATAAAAATTAATAAAAATAATAAATTATAATTATTAAAAATTAATTTTAAAAACAAGTGAAAAATAATAAATTATTTTCTAAAAAATGAATTTTTTTCACTTCAAATTAAATTTTTAGTTAAAATAAAAAAAATTTAAACGAACCTAATTTTTAAAGAAAGTGATAATTAATGTTTTGGTCAAAATTTAACAAAAGACCATCAAGTCCAACAATCAAAAGTGAGGATTCAATTCTCGAGGAAAGCATTCACGAGGTTTCCGAATTTCAAGTTGTTTTAATGAAATCAAATTTAAATAAAAATCCAAAACAATCAAATTCAAATACAATGAAAAGTGAAAGTGATAAAGAATCAGAAGCAAATAATAATGAACAAAATTTTACTGATAATGAAATTAATGAAATAAATGAAACAAGTGTTATTCGTGATTGTAAAGATAATCTCGATTATTCAATATCACAATTATCATCGACATCGTTTGAGAGAAAATTATTGCAGGACATAAGTTTCGATGGAATTGATAAAAATAAATCACTCTCGGAATCGAGAATTTTCGAGAAAACTTATATGAAGAAAAATTTATCCGACATTGATGTAAATATTGTAAAATTGGAGAAATCAAAATCCCTCGATGAAGATCAATTTATTCATTTATTGAAAGAAGAGACTATTCGAAAATTTGATGACACTAATTTATCGGCATTGAATATTAGTAATGAATCATGGTCAACGGCGCATTCGAGATTTTCATTGCCATTAAATAATTCAAGTCAATCGCCAATTGCATTTTCACCGGCGGTCAAAAATGAAATTGAAAAGAAAAAAGAAGAAAATATTGAGACAGTAACGTCGGATTTTGAATTTTCTTTTACTGGCGTGAGTAGTACTTTTATATCGCCTAATCGTCCAACAGATTCTGAATTTGATATCAATTCATTGTCGAAAGAGACTTATTGGGTTAAATCACACGATACTACTGTTACTATTAGTAGTAGCAGTAGTAGTAGTAGTGAGCCTTGTTCTACTGATTCAGAATCGGAATCAGGAGATAGAAAATCGTCAGTGGATCTTACAAGTGATGAAATTGAAAGTCTTATTGATGATAAATATTCTACAGAAGGTTTGTTTTTCTTTTTTTTTTTTTTAAATAAAGTGTGAAAATTGAAAAATGGTCCTAACCAGGTATTTAATAAATTTCAGGAAATTTATAATAATTATAATTATAATAATAATTGTAATAATAGGTTATAGTTTATTATAATAATTAATAGTCGATAACTTCTATTAATTTATAACGAGAATAATTTAATTACTCTTATATTCTCAAATAAAAATATTTACCCTCCACGGGATTCGAACACACGACAAATTTACGCTTTCTAATGCCTTAACGACTACGACCAAAACACAGTTACAAAAATAATGTAATTAGGCAAGGAACATATTTTTAATCCATTATATTATTGAATTGAAATTTTTTTTAAAGCAAATAAAAAGAGGGTTGCCACAAAAAATTAATTTCGTTCTTCCCTGACTTCACCTTGATTTGCAGACAAAATTTTTAATTTTTCCCTGGACCTAAAGAATATTCTAATTCACTCTAAGAATTATTAAAAAAAAATATATATATTTCCGTAGGAATTAAAATTTTCAAAACATTTAAATTCATTTGATTCAAATTCATAAAGAATTTTATCATCAAATTTTTAAATAATTGAATTCTTCCGACGAATTTTCATAAAATTTTCCAAAATAATTACAATTTTCAAAGAATATGATTAAAATTGCATTAAAAATAATTGAAATCCGGTGAAGAATTTTATGATTTATGAAAATAATTGAATTCTTGCAAATCCGGTGAAGAATTTTATTATTTATAAAAATTATTTAATTCTTGCAACAAAATTTTATTTAATTAATTAATTTATTAAAATAATTGAATTTAAATAATTGATTTCTTTACAAAAATTCTAATATTCAATTATTACCTAAAAGTATAACTGAAATTTATTTTTAAATCAACTTTTATTTATTAGTAAAGTTTACGAGAATTCTATGATTTAAATTCAAAAATTTTAAATAATTTATTGAATAATTAAATGTTTCTAAAAATTGAATTCTCATAAAGAATTTTACTAACAGATTTTTAAATATTTTAATTCTTTTCACGAATTTTAATCAAATTTTCAAGAATAATTACTTTTTTCGAGGAATTTGATTAAAATTGTATTAAAAATAATTTAATTCTTGTGAAAAGTTTTAATATTTATAAAAAATAATTGAATTCTTGTGATGAATATTGTTATTTATGAAAATAATTGAATTTTTAAATCATTTTATGCAAATTTCAAGAAATAATTTAATCAATTTGAATAATTTTATGGAAATTTTATTTATAATAATCGAATTTAAAAAATTGAATAAAATTTTAATAAAATTATTCAAATTGATTAAATTATTTCTTGAAATTTGCATAAAATAATTAAAAAATTCAATTATTTTCAAAAATAACAATATTCATCACAAGAATTCAATTATTTTTACAAATAATAATATTCTTCACAAGAATTCAATTATTTATGAAAATAATTGAATTCTTTAGGAAAATTTTATTAAAAAACTAGGTATTGAAAATTTTTGAAAATAATTGAAAATAATTGAAATTTTGAGAAGAATTTTATTAAAATTTTTAAAAATAATTGAATTTTCAAGAGGAATTTTATTATTTCTAAAAAGATCATTCAAATTTTGAGAATTTTAAAAAATTTTTGAACGTAATTGAATTATTGCGAAGAATATTAAAAAAAAATTTTTAAATAAGTAAATTCCTCAGAAGAATTTTATTATTTTATAAAAATAATTGAATTCATTCCAAGATTTTTATTATTTATAAAAATAATTGAATTCCTACAACAAATTTTATTAAAATTTTGAAAAATAATTGAATTTCTCAGAAGAATTTTATTATTTATAAAAATAATTGAATTGTTATTCAAAATTTTTTGAAAATAATTGAATTTCAAAGAAGAATTTAATTATTCCTAGAAATAATTCAAATTTTGAGGAGAATTTGAAAAAAATTTTGAACGGAATTGAATTTTGGCGAAGAATATAAATAACATTGTTTAAAATAATTAAATACCTGAAAAGCATTTTATTATTTATAAAAATAATTGAATTCTTGGCAAGATTTTTATTATTTATAAAAATAATTGAATTCCAACAACGTATTTTATTAAATTTTTTAAAAATGATTGAATTTCTGAGAAGAATTTTATTATATATAAAAATAATTGAATTGTTATTCAAAATTTTTTTAAATAATTTAATTCTTTCGAAGAACATTAATAAATGGTTTAAGAATAACTGCATTTTTTTTTTAGTTTCTTTAAAATTTTAATAAAAATAATTGATATCTTGTGATGAGTTTTATTATTTATGAAAATAATTGAATTCTTGCAACGAATTTTAATATTTAAAAATAATTGAATTCCTGAGAAGAAATTTATTATTTATAAAAATAATTAAAAATTTTCCCAAGAATCTTATCATTTATAAAAATAATTGAAATTTTGACGAGTATTTAAAACAATTTTAAACATAATTTAATGTCCGCGAATAATTTTATTTCTTTTGGTAAGAATTGAATTTCTGCAATATTCTTAGTAACTTCTCCGTTCTCCGAAATTCTAATTTTTTTAGTGTTTTTGACTAAAATTCTTCAATAAATTCATTATTTTAAATAATTAATTAAATATTTATATTAAAAAAATGTAACTAATTTCAAAGGAATTTGAATTATTCAAACTTCTCAAAAAACAATAATTTTTTATTTATTATTATTATTATTATTATTATTATTATTATTATTATTATTATTATCATTATTTATTTTATTATTTTTTTTATTTTCTTTTTATTTTTTAAAAATTTTTTTTCTTTTTCTTTTTTTAATTTTTATTTCCTTTAAAATTTGTATTCAAATTAATTGAAAAAGTGAAATTTTCTAAAGTTTGTAATTGAAACCTTTTCAAGTTCATCTACTTATGAAAATTGTAAATTGTAAATTGTAATTGTAATTGTAATTGTAATTGTAATTGTAATTGTAATTGTAATTGCAACTCTTAAAATTTAATTAATTTCAAAATATACATGAGTAAAATTAATTTTTAAAATAATTTATAAAAAATAAATTTCCAACTGATTTTTCCAACTAAAAATACTGATCTCTATCAAACTCTTTCGCTTACTCTTCGCAAATATGTAGCTAAGACTTTTCGTTTGTTCAACGCACAATGAAACTAGGAACGTAACGACATTTTCTGTCCCCATTTCAAAGTTTCTTCATTGTATATAGTTTTGCTTCACTAGGCTTATTTATCTAAAGTACTAGTAAACTCAAAACTTGTAAATTCTCTCAAATTTCAATTTATTTTCAAACAATTGAGAATACTCTTGTTTTGTTTTAAAACTATTTTAGGCGAATCTCTCTCCTATAATATAATCAAGAGAAGAATTTACTCTTTAAAATTAATTACTTTTTGTTTTTTGTAAAATTCTGTTTTTTTTTTTTTTTTGGTATCTAAGTAAGGAAAAATAAATTTTTCTCTATCATTTAAATTTTGTTCTTTTTACATCTTTAATAAAAAAAAAGTATATTTAACACAATATATAATAGGATTGAATTATGTCACAGGCATTATGATGGAAATAAATACGCATATATATTATTTAACATTTCCCTTTTCATATTATTCACTCATTCGTATATATTAGTTCAAATTTGAATCGGAGTTTGGCCAAAGTTCATGACATTGAACAAAATTAGATACCATAAATTTTAATTTACACCCAAATGTCATTGAAAATTATTCACATGATCATTTTCTTTTTTAAATTCTCATTTTTTTTTCTTATGACAATTTTGTATTTAAAAATTAAATTAAAAAATTGTCTTTATTAATTATTATTTAATCTATTCAATGAATTGTAAACAATTTTTTTCTCTTTGTATATTTGGTAAAATTTTAAATTTTAATGCTTAATTCAAAAATGGAAATTTTTAAATAATTCTCCGCGTCTTTTGAAACTCCTGAGGTTTATTAGCCTATAAGTATTTGCATGAAGAATTACATCATCATCATCGGATAATTGCATATGTATGTGTGTGCAAATGTCTTTCCTGGCAATACTACAGCTTTAGAATTTATAATTTGAAACTTTAATTTTTGCTCTTGATACTTGTCAACGATTACTTATATCATACTCTTAAAGTAGTTGTCCGTTATAATAAATTACAAGTCTTATTTGATTAATTTAAACATTCACCGATCTATTTTCGTCAAATTTTCGTGAAAAGGTTTTGAAACTATTTTCTCAACTAATAAAAAAATATGCATTGGACCAAAGGAGGTCCTAAGTATCCGATAATAAATACTAAAATTGACTTAACTGGGTCTTAACTAGAATAGTCAATTTTAAACTTCGAATATTTTTTCGATTTTTTCATTTATTTTTTCCAAATATTTAATTTTTTGTATTAAATTATTTTATATTATTACTTTTCGATAAAAAGTTTACTTCCCTAAAACTGAAATAGTTTCTTATTATAACTAAAAAAAAATAGTAAAGATTCGTTTACTAAAAATAAATTAGTAACAGTTTTAACTAATTTTTAGTAAAAAAATTCCTAACTTTTTAAATAAAAACATTACTAACTTTTTAAATCACAAAAATATTAATTCGTGCTTACAGTGAAAAAAATATTTGATTCAAATAACTTATCTATTATTATCAAATAAATATTTACTTGATTCAAATAATTTTTATGTAAACAGGGCTCGAACCAGAAAAAGTATTTAAAAATACGAACCAAAAATGAAAAATTTCATCATTTCAATTCAATTATTATTTACAAGAATTTTTAACTAAAATTCTTCTTAAAATCAATTAATTTTCGAAAAAGTTCTCTGACAATTTTCAAATCCATTTATTTACAATATTCAATTTTACGAATTTTAATTATTCGCAAATACTTCAATAAAATATATATTAGAAAATAAAAACTAAAAATAATTTTTAAAAAAATTCAATTAAACTTTTTCAAAGAAATTAATTTAAAAATTTATTTCTAAAAATTTACGCGATATTGCTTTTAATATTCTATTATCTAAAATTTTAACTGAAATTCATTCTTAAATCAATTTTTATTCGAAAATTCTATTAGAATTCAATTATTTTCATAAATAATAAAATTCCTTTAAAAAATTCAATTATTTTCAAAAATTTCAGATAAAATCATCTGAAAGAATTCAATGATTTTCTTAAATAAGAAAATTCTTGGCAAGAATTAAAATACTTGCATCAATAATAAAATTCATCGAAGAAATTCAATTATTTTCAATATAAATTTTAAAAATTTCTCGTAAAGAATAGAATTATTTTTCAAAATATTATTTAAATTCAATTATTTTCAACAATTGTGATAAAATTCACCGAAACAATTCAATTATTTTTATAAATTGTAAAATTCTATGCAAAAATTCAATTATTTTTGTAAATAATTAAAATTCTTCTGAGAAATTCAATTGTTTTCAATACAATTTTAATAAAATTTCTCTAACAGGTTCAATTATTTTTAAAAATAGTAATACAATTTTTCTAAACAATTTTTTTTAAAGAATTTTAATAAAAATCTTGCTAAGAATTAAATTATTTTCAATACAATTTTAATTAAATTTTCACGAAAGAATTTAATCATTTAAAAAAATGTTAATAAAATTCTTGAAATGAATTCAATTTTTTTAAAAATACTTTACAAGAATTTAATGATTTTCAGTACATCGTAAATATAATTGTTTCTAAAAAAAAATTTTTAAATATAAATTTTTTATTTCTGCAAATAATTGAATTTTTGCAAAATTTTAAAAAGGAAGTGAATTTTTGAGAAAAATTTTATGAAAATTGTATTAAAAAAAAATTGAATAGCTGGGAAAAATGTAGTATTTATTGATATAATTAAATTTATTTCTTTATTTGTTTTTAACTGAAATTCATTTTTAAATCAATTTTTATAAGAAAATTCTACTAAAACGCAATTATTTAATTACAGAAATAAATAATTTATTGAATCATTCAATATTTCTTAAAATTCAATTCTTATAAAGAATTTTATCAACAAATTTTTAAATAATTGAATTCTTTTGACTAATTTTAACAAAAATTTTTAAGAATAATTACATTTTTCGAGGAATTCGATTAAAATTGTATTAAAAATAATTGAAATTCTGCGATTAGTTTTATTATTTATGAAAATAATTTAGTTTCTAAAAAAAATTTTATTATGTACGAAAATAATTGAATGCCTGTAAAAATTTTATTATTTATGAAAATAATTGAATGCCTGTAAAAATTTTATTATTTATGAAAATAATTGAATTATTGCGAAAAAATTTATTAAAAAATTTGTAAATAATTGAATTCCCGTGGAATTTTTATTATTTTTTGAAAATAATTAAATGTTTGCGTAGAACTTTATTAAATTTTTTTTAAATAATTGAATTCTTTCGGAATTTTATTAGAAATTAATTTTTTATTTTATTAAAATTTTTGAAAATAATTGAATTTTGGAGAAGAATTTTATTATTTTCAAAGATAATTGAAATTTTGACGATAATTTTTAAAAATTTTTAAAAATTTTTAAACATAATTAAATTTCTGCGAAGAATTTTATTTCTTTTAAAAATAATTGAATTTCTGCATTCATTTGTAATTTCTCTAAAAATAAATTTTTTTTTAGTGTTTTTAACTAAAAATTTTCTATAAATCTATTATTTTTAATAATTTTTAAAAAAACTTTTGAGTTTTTAAAATTCATTTGTCCTTAACTGAAATTAATTTTTAGATCAATTTTTATTAGAAAATTCTACTAGAATTCAATTAAGGAGGGAAATTTTTTAAAATAATTGAAATTTTGCCAAGAATTTTTAAAAAATTTTTGGAAATAATTAAATTTCGGAAAAGAATTTTATTATTTCTAAAAATAATTGAAATTTTGAGGATAATTTTTTTTTAATTTTTAAACATAATTAAATTTCTGCAAAGAATTTTAGTACTTTTAAAAAAAATTGAATTTTTGCAATAATTTAACTCCCATCCCAATTTTTTATCTTTTTCAAAATTTTTTTTAATCTGAAAAATTTTTTTCTCTTTACTCTAAAAATTGGTGGGCAAAAAAATTAATTTTTCTCTCCTCTTGTTTATTTTACAGGCGTACCATTTCCTCCATCTCGTAAACTAACAATAGCAGAGGTCTTCGACACGCGAACAGGACGACCACGACCTGAAGTGCTCAAGCAACATTTTATTCTTGAAGGTAGAATAGATGAATCTGCAGCACTCCGAATTGTTAATGATGGAGCTGCTCTTCTTCGTTCAGAAAGAACGATGATAGATATCGAGGCACCTGTCACTGGTAAGTTTTCAAAGAGATACGTATTGTATGTATAATTATAAATTGTCGTCACGTAAACGTGATAGTAATTCCAATAATAAAAAAAAACAACAACCTTTTAAACAATGTCTATTTGAATTATTTTTCCACTTTTATAAATTATATTTTTCTGAATAATTATATATCATTTTTCTACATGAGAAAAAAATTAAACGAATTTTTTAATATAAACTTTTATTTTTAGAAATATAAACTTTTTATTTTTCTACTTTTATAAATAATATTTTTCAAGACAATTAAATATTTAAAAACAAAGAATTTATTTAGAAAAAAGAGAAAAAACGAATTTTTTTATATAAAAAAATTCGTTTCTCTTTTTTCAATAACAAAATAAATCATTTAAAAAAAATACCAAAATGTAATTTATTTATAACTATTGAATTGTAAATTCCATTTTCTTTAGGAATAGTTTTCTCGATTGTAAAATTTTACCTTCTTATCGTCAAGTTTCAGTCTTAAGTTAAGTGTGTCTCAATGATAATAATCAAGTTAATTACTGTATTTTTCTAAGAAAAATGGATTTAAACTTCGTACAAATAGCACAACGTTTACGGCCACAATATTGCGAATACTTCTCAGTAATATTATGTCAACATTGTCAACAATATTCACACTGATTTAAATATTATTTTGTTTTATTATTTTATTAAAATTTTTTTTCGAAAATTCATTAATTTTAATATTAATTAATTATAATTAATTTAAATATCAATAAGTAATTTAAATTAATTTCAATATTAATTAATTATAATTAATTTAAATATCAATAAGTAATTTAAATTAATTTAAATATTATTAATTGCAAAATTACATTAAATATTAATGAACAATTAATATAAATTATTAATAATTTAAATATTAAATAATTTAATTTAATAATTTCATTAATAATTTTAATTAATTTGAAATTCAATGTTGAAATTAATTCAATGTTTATTTTATTTAATTCAATAAAATTACAAAGTTTTTTTTCATGGATTCCTGAGACTTGTCGAGTGGAAAGAACATCAATACAAAATCGACAAGCCTCGAAAGTTCATCATGGGGTCATTTTTTTGTCTATTGCTTTTTTTTCTCAATCCTGCATTAAGAGAGTCTATTTTCGTTCTTGTAGAATTTCTTTTCTCAACATAGTGTCACTTTAAATTGTTTAGATACAAAAATATCCGAATTAAAAATGAAAATAAATATTAAATTATTATTAAATAGAAACTATTTTTTAAAAAATTTTATTCTAAATTATTTTAAAAAACAAAAATGTTTAACATTTTTTTTAACTACTTCTTTAAGTAAAGATTGTTTCTTAATTAATTGTATAAGTTACTAGACAATTATGTAATTTCTTTTCAACTTTGACTTTCATTTTGACTCTCACTTTGATATATTTTTATTTTTACTTTTATTTTCACTTTCACTTTCATAAATTTTTATTTTTACTTTTATTTTTTTATGCGAATTAAATTATTTAAAAAAATTTGAATAAAATTTTCCGCAAGAAATCAATTATTTTCATAAATAATAAAATTTTTCTCGAGAATTCAATTATTTTAAAAAGTTTTGATAAAATGCTTTATAAATTTCAAAAATTATAATAAAATTGATTTTAGAATACAATTATTTTCGTAAAATATAACGTTCTTCCTTGGAATACAATTATTTTGAAAATTTTGTGTAACAATCTTCGAAACAATTCAGTTATTTTCGTAAAAAATAAAATTCTTCCCAAGAATTCAATTATTTAAGAAAATTTAATAAAATTCTTCTCAAGAATTCAATTCTTTAAGAAATTTTAATAAAATTCTTCTCAAGAATTCAATTCTTTTCAAAAATAAAATTTTTAAAAGGAATTTAATTATTAAAAAAAAATTTATTAAAATTCTTCGTCAGATTTCAATTATTTTCAATTTTTGAATGAAATTTCTCGATAAAATTTAATTTTTTTTGAAAAAGTTTTAAAAAATTCTGAGAAATTTAATTATTATTTTAAAAAATTTGAATAAAATTCTTCACAAGAAATTAATTATTTTTATAAATAATAATATTTTTCTTTGGAATTCAATTATTTTCACAAATAAAATTCTTCACAGGAATTCAATTTTTTAATAAAATTCGTTGCTAGAATTCAATTATTTTCATAAATAACAAAAGCTTATGGCAAATTTTCAATTATTTTTTTATACAATTTTAAATAAATGATAGAAAATTGCATTTATTCTTAAAATTTTTTTTTAACTTCTCCGAAAGAATTGAATTATTTATAAAATTTTTGATAAAATTTTCTCATGAAAAGTCAATTCTTTTCAAAAATAAACCTTTTCACAGGAATTCAATTGTTTAAAAAAAAATTAATAAAATTCTTTATCAGATTTCAATTATTTTCAATTTTTTAATGAAATTTCTCGATGGAATTTAATTGTTTTGAAAAAATTTTAAATAATCTAAGAAATTCAATTATTATTTTAAAAAATTTAAATGAAATTCTTCACAAGAAATTAATTATTTTCATAAATAATAATATTTTTCGATGGAATTCAATTCTTTAAAAAAAATTTTTAATAAAATTTGTTGCAAGAATTTAATTATTTTCATAAATAACAAAAGCTTATGGTAGATTTTCAATTATTTTTTTTACAATTTTAAATATAGTAATAGAAAATTGCATTTATTCTTAAATTTGTTTGTAAAATTCGCCGAAAATTTATTAAAATTCTTCGTCAGTTTTCAATTATTTTCAATTTTTTAATAAAATTTCTCGATAGAATTTAATTTTTTTGAAAAAATTTTAAATAATCTAAGAAATTCAATTATTATTTTAAAGAATTTGAATAAAATTCTGTTCAAGAAATTAATTATTTTTATAAATGATAATATTTTTCTTTGGAATTCAATTATTTTCACAAATAAAATTCTTCACAGGAAATCAATTCTTTAAAAATTTTTTTAATAAAATTCGTTGCAAGAATTCAATTATTTTCATAAATTTCTTTTAACTTCTCCGAAAAAATTCAATTATTTAAAAAAATTTTGATAAAATTCTTCAAAAAAATTCAATTCTTAAGAAATGTTCAATTATTTAATAAATTATTTATTTTTGTATTTAAATAATTGAATTCTCGAACAATTTTCTAAAAAAAATCGATTAAGTAATGAATTTTACTTAAAATTTTAAATTATAATTTGAATATTAAAAGCATTATAGCGTGAATTTTTGGAAATAATTGAATTTTGAAAAAGGTTCAAAATTAAAATCTTTGAAAATTTGAAAATTTTCGAATAATTTTAATTTTAGAAATTCATAAATAAATGTTGAAATTTTCGAATAATTTTACAATTAAAGAAATTCATAAATAAATGTAATAGAACCTTTTTTTGAGTATCCAATAAATTTTTAGAGTAAATCAGAATATTCTTTGGGGTCAGGGAAAAAGTCAAAATTTTGTCTGGAAATTTGGGAAAAGTCAGGGTAAAGCAAAATTAAATTTTTGTGGCAACCTTGCACACTGAAAGCGAAATTCAAAGTGAAAGTAAAAATAAAAATTTGTCCAAGTAGAAATGATAAAGAAAAATAATCTATTATAGCGAGAAGATGAAAATGAAAGTCAAAGTAGAAATGAAATTACACAATTTCGACCCCAAGAATAGAAATAAGAAAATAATAATTAATTACAGTGGATAAATGTCAAAATTTAAATGGCAATAAAATAATTACACTGCGCGATAAAAATTCTCGATTAGGTGCTAAAAGATTAACTTTTATTTCAGTCTGCGGAGATATTCATGGCCAATTTTATGACTTGATGAAATTATTTGAGGTTGGCGGACCACCGTCAACAACAAAGTACCTCTTTCTGGGTGACTATGTTGACAGAGGTTACTTCAGTATTGAGGTAAGTAAAATCTAGATTACAAACTTCTATCACTCTTTCTCTCTCCCTCCCCCTCTCTCTCTCTCTCTCCTTCTGCCAAAACGAGCTCGCTCAACTTTCAATTTATTCTCATTCATCTTAAATGACGACTATTTATACAATAAGTGTGAAACTGTCTTGGCAAAAGTTTTTTTCCCTCCTTCTCCTCTTTTTTTTAATACCCAACTCATAATTCTTCAATTGAAATTTATCTCAACTTTTTTTTCTCTCCCTATTTTCTCTCACTCTGTGTCTCTTCAATCTTATTAATAATTGTTTTTCAAATAAATCTTTTTCCCTGAACTAAATTTTTAAATGCTCCTTTTATTCAATTCAATTTCTGTCGATTCATATATTATAAGGGTGATGGGTTTTCACATTAATATATTATTATTTTTCAAACGAGCTTCTCAGTAAATTATTGATTTTCATTTTCTTTCTATTAAATGTTCATTAGTAGAGAAATATTGTATATTTCTTAACTGATCTACTAAAACGTATTTACTAATTTTTTCATGCTTTGCTACCATTCGGATACTTTTTTAGATTTTTGATACTAAAAGCAACTTTTTTTCTATGTTTACAAATTTACACTATTTTAAATTTGTTAATAGTTGGAATAAATAAATTAATCTTCAAAATTTTAATAAAATTCTTCGAAACAATTCAATTTATTCAATTATTTTCATACAATTCTTTCAAACGATTCAATTATTTTCAAAATGTTTTAGCAATTCAATTATTTTCAATATCTAGTATTTTAATTAAAAAAAATTCCCAAAAGAATTCAATTATGTAAAGAAAAATATTATAAAAATCTTCGCAAACATTTAATTATTTTCATAAATAAAAATATTCGCAGAAATTTAATTATTTAAAAGACAATTTGCATACAATTTTTCGATAAAAATCAATTTTTTAAAAAGATTTATACAAAATTGTTCTCAAGAAATCAATTATTAAAAAAATGTAATAAAGTTTTTCGCAAGAATTAAATTATTTTTTGCATAAAATGATTAAAAAATTCAATTATTTTCATAAATAATAAAATTCTTCTCAGAAATTCAATTATTTTAAAAAATTTAATAAAATTTGTTGCAAGAATTCAATTATTTTTATAAATAATAAAATTCTTCTCAGAAATTCAATTATTTTTATAAATAATAAAATTATTCTCAAAAATTGAATTATTTTTTAAAATTTTAATAAAATTTGTTGCAAGAATTCAAGTATCTGCATAACTAATAAAAATCATCGCAGGATTTAAATTATTTTTTATAAATAATAAAATTCTTCTCAAAAATTCAATTATTTTTTTAAAATTTTAAAAAAATTTGTTACAAGAATTCAATTATTTTCATGACTAAATAAAAAGCATCGCAGGATTTCAATTATTTTTAAAACAAATTTAAGTGAATTCCTCGAAAAATTCAATTATTCTTCAAAATTGTATTAATATTTTTTTCGAAAGAATTGAATTATAAAAAAAAAAGTTTGCTACAATTTGTTTATTAGAATGTAATAATTATTTTCAAAATATTTTGAATTAAATTTCTCAAAAATATTCAATTATTTAAAAACATTTTTTATAAAATTCTTTGTAAACATTATATTATTTTCATACATAATAAAATTTTCACAGGGGATCATAATTATTTAAGACACAATTTTCATCAAATTTTTTCGAAAAAAATCAATTTTTTAAAAAGGTTTTTATAAAATTTTTCACGAGAATTCAATTATTAAAAAAAAATTTAATAAAGTTCTTCGCAAGGATTCAATAATTTTTATAAATAATCAAATTCTTCTTAAAAATTCAATTATTTTTAAAAATTTTAATAAAATTTGCTGCAAGGATTCAATTATTTTTAAAAATAATAAAAATCTTCTCAGAAATTCAATTATTTTTGAAAATTTTAATCAAATTTGCTGCAAGGATTCAATTATTTTTAAAAATAATAAAAAAATATCTATGATTCTCAAAAATTCAATTATTTTTAAACATTTTAATAAAAGCAGCAAGGATTCAATTATTTTTATAAATAATAAAAAAATATCTATGATTCTCAGAAATTCAATTATTTTTAAAAATTCGAATAAAATTTTTTCCAAGAATTTAATTATTTTCATAAATAATAAAAATTCAGCAGAATTTCAATTATTTATAATACAATTTTTAATTCAATTGTTTAAAAAATTTTTTTATAAAATTCTTTGCAAACATTCAATTATCTTCATAAATAATCAAATTTCGACAGAAATTCAATTATTTTTAAGAATTGTCAAAAAATTTGTAACAAGAATTTTCAATTATTTGACAAAAATTGAGTTTTTCGCAAGAATTCAATTATTTTTTATAAATAATAAAATTCTTCACAGAAATTGAATTATTTTTAAAAATTTAAATTCAATTCAAGTCAAGAATTCAATTATTTCCATAAAAAATAAAACAATTTTAAAAGTATTCCTCGAAAAAATGCAATTATTTAAAAAAAAATTTATTAATATTCTTTAAAAGAATTCAATTATTTTCAAAAATTGTAATAAAAATCTTCACAATTTAATTAATTTCAAAAATTTTGATAAAGCTATAAGAATTCAATTTTAAGAAATATTCAATTATTCAATAAATTATTTGCTTTTGTACATAAAAAATTTAATTATTGTAGATTTTTCTAATACGAATTCATTTAAAATTGTATTTCAGTTAAAATTTTAGATAATAATTGATATTAAAAGTATTTTATAGTAAAAATTTTCGAATTAAATTTCAAAAGAAATGTAAATTGAAAGTTTTTAAAGTAAAAAAACAATTCTGTTTTTGAATGTAATTTAATTTAGAAATTATGAAAAGATTGAGTCGTCAAGTTAAATTTTTCTATAGCCACTTTTTTTACTCCTTTTTTTCACTCTTATATTGCTACTTTTTTAAAATTAATTTTTGAGTTCGAAGCCTTTATAAAACTTTTTATTTAAATGTTAAATCAAATCTCTTTATTTTGCCATTTAAAAAAAATAAAAACAAGGAATTTCCGATTATTAAATTAAAAAAAAAGAATTGTCTATTATTAATTAAAAAAAGAAAACATTTCCGATTATTAAATTAAAAAAAAGAATTTTCTATTATTAATTAAAAAAAGAAAACATTTCCGATTATTAATTAAATTCCAATCTCTTTATAAGAGAAAAAAAAATTGTAATATTTTCTCTTGATGAATTTTATTTCAATTTTTATTAATCAGTTTTCTTTTGTTACAGTGCGTTTTGTACCTGTGGGCATTGAAACTGTGCCATCCAACTACACTCTTCCTCCTCAGAGGTAACCATGAGTGTCGTCATCTTACGGAATACTTCACATTTAAACAAGAATGTAAGTAATTTCTCTTAATTTATCATTTCAAATATTTATTAATACACCGCGAAAAGAAACAAGCGCTAAAAATAAGTGTCAATTTAGTTTTCAAAACTTTACAACTCTTTCTCTTATTTCTTTTGCAAAATTCACAGCAAATTTACTCGCAATAATTCAGCAAAAGTCAAATAAAATTTTACCTTTCAAAAGAAAAAATAATTAATTTTTCCTGAAAATTTACTTTTTTTAATGTCTTTTTTTATTTTTTTCAAGTATATATGTGTGAACTTTTTACAAAGTTGCGATTAAAATAAAAAAAAAATCGTACGGAAATAAAATTTCCTCCAACCAGGATAATTTTCACTATAAAATTATAATTCAAATATCAAAGAGAATAATATTTTTGATAAAATTTCCAACAAGAGATTACGAATAATCCCATTGTTTGATGGTATGGAAAAAAAATTTTCTTCATTTGAACAAATTTGTAGAACAAAAAGAAAATGTTAAGTAGAGAATTTTCAAATAAATTAACGATCAGAATTTTAATAATTCAAATTATTATTCACTGCTCTTATTTATTAATAATTATAATTTATTTATTATTGCCTAATTGAAATTATTAATGATTGTAATTATTATTAATTAAAATTATTCATAATTGTAATTATTATTCATTGTAATTGTTATTAATTGTAATTATTATTCATTGTATTACTTAATAATAATTGTAATTATTTATTAACAATTACAAATATTATTAATTGAAATTATTATTACTTGAGATTATTGTTAATTGTAATTATTTATTAACAATTACAAATATTATTAACTGTCATTATTAATTAACAATTACAAACATTATTAATAATAATTGCAATTATTCTTAATTGTAATAATCATTCATACTTGTAATTATTTCAATTGTAAATAGAAGCTGAAGTCTGATTTTCAAAATTCAAAATGGTGGATCCAATATGGCGGCAATAAATTTTTAAATTCAAGTTTTCAATTTTTTTTCCCCCTTCTAATGAAAATATTAATTAATGCATTTTAATCTAAATTCCTCTGTATTTTGTGCAGGTAAAATAAAATACTCAGAGAAGGTGTATGATGCATGTATGGACGCATTCGACTGTCTGCCGCTTGCAGCTCTCATGAACCAACAATTTCTCTGTGTTCATGGTGGCCTTTCGCCGGAAATTCACAATTTAGATGACATACGTTCCGTAAGTTTAACACTATTGGTTTTTACTTCCTCCTTTGAGAGAAAAAAAAACAAACAAAAAATAAAAATACACAAGACAACAAAAATTAATGACAAACAAAATTTCTTTAGACACTGTTTGTCATTAATTTTTATTTACAACGACAACGTGTGTAAGCCCTATTATTTTCTAGAAATTGTAAAGTTTCAAACAGAACTTGTTGATCCAACACGAGGGACGATGCCTTCTGTACAAATATCATTATTAGAATCCATAGAAGATGATAAATATAAAGGGCGACAAAAATTCTTTCTACAAAAATATTTTTTATATGAAACATTTCGTGTGGAAAGTTTTTTTTAAAACCAATCTAGTTTTTGGGGAAAAAATAAAAAAAAAAAATGAAAAATTTCAAATGAAAAATTAAAATTTTAAAATTACTATAAATCATGTGGTGCGGATTACTTATCGTCATTAATAACTTTCAACTAATTCAGATTTAGAAATGAATAAAGTTTATAACTATTAATTAATTAAAGTTCTCTCACAATTTTCAAATTCCTGTTTACAATATTCAATTTTACGAATTTCAATTATTCGTAAACTCTTCAATTAAACATATATTAGAAAATAAAAACTACAAATAATATTACAAAAAATTTGAATTAAACTTTCTCAAAAAAATTAATTTCAAAATTTAATTATTTCTAAAAATTCACGCTATATTGCTTTTGATATTCTATTATCAAAAATTTTAACTGAAATTCATTTTTATGAAATGAAACTCAATTTTTATTAGAAAATTCTACTAGAATTCAATTATTTAAATAGAAAAATAAATAATTTATTGAATAATTCAATGTTTCTTAAAATTCAATTTTCATAAAGAATTTTACCAACAAATTTTTAAATAATTCAATTCTTTCAACGATTTTAATAAAATATTTAAGAATAATTACATTTCCCGAGAAATTCGATTAAAATTGTTTTAAAAATAATTGAAATTCTGCAATGAGTATTATTATTTAGGAAAATAATTGAATTCTTAAAAAGAATTTTATTATTTTTGAAAACAATTGAATTTCTGCAATAATTTGTAACTTTTCCAAAATTAAATTTTTCTTAAAATGTTTTTAACTAAAATTTTTCTATAAATCAATTATTTTCAATAATTTTTGAAAAAGTTATTTGAGAATTTTCAAATTCATTTGTTTTTAACTAAAATTCATTTTTAAATCAATTTTTCTTAAAAAAATTCTACTAGAATTCATTTAAATTCAAAAATAAATAATTTATAAAATAATTTAAAGTTTCTAAAAAAGTGAATTCTTATAAAAAAATGTATCAACAAATTTTTAAATAATTCAATTCTTTTGACGAATTTTAATCAAATTTCTATAAGAATAATTACATTTTTCGAGGAATTCGATTAAAATTGTATAAAAAATATTTGAAATTCTGGGAAGAGTTTTATTATTTATGAAAATAATTCGAAAATAACAAAAATTTTATTGTTTTTGTAAATAATTGAATCCCTGTAAAAAATTTTATTATTTATGAAAGTAATTTAAATTTTGACAAGAATTGTATTAAAATTTTTGAAAATAATTGAATTTTGGAGAAGAATTTAATTATTTATAAAGATAATTGAAATTTTGAAGAGAATTTTATTAAAATTTTTTTGAAATAGATAATTGAATTCTTTTCGAAATTTTTATTAAAATAGTAGATATTTAAAATTTTTGAAAATAATTGAAATTTTGACAAGATAGAATTTTAATCAAATTTTTGAAAATAATTGAAGCTCGGAGAAGAAATTATTATTTAAATAAATAATTGAAATTTTGACAAGAATTTAAAAAAATTTTTGAACATAATTGAATTTCTGCAAAGAATTTCATTATTCATAAAAATAATTGAATTCCTACAACGAATTTTATTAAAATTTATAAAAATAATTGAATTCATACAAAGAATTTTAATAAAATTTTTAAAAATAATTGAATTCCTGAGAAGAATTTTATTATTTAAATAAATAATTGAAATTTTGACGAGAATTTAAAAAATTTTTTGAAAATAATTGAATTTCTCAAAAGAACTTAATTACTTTTGAAAATAATTGGATTTCTTCAATCATTTGTAACTACTCGAAAATTGAATATTGAATTCCTGAGACGATTTTATTATATAAAAAAATAATTGAATTTTAGTGAAAAATTTAATAAAACAATCTTTTTAAATAATTGATTTTGTGCAAAAAATTTTATGCAAATTATGTTTTAATTTTTAAATATTTAAATTCCTGTAAAAATTTAATTATTTATAAAAATAACTGAATGTTTGAAAAGAATTTTATAACAATTTTCTTTAAAGAATTGAAATATTTCAAGAAATTTAATTCAAAATGCATTAAAAATAATCATTAAATTCTTATAAACAAATTACATATATCAACATTTTTGAAAAATAATAATTGCATTTATTTTTAAGGAATTAATTAAAAATTTTATTAAAAAATAAAAATAATTGAAATTTTGACAAGAAATTTTTTAAAGTTTGAAAATAATTGAATTTCTGCGAAGAATTTTATTGCTTTTGAAAATAATTGATTTTTTGCAATCATTTTTAACTTCTACAAAATTGAATTGAATTCCTGAGATTTTATTATTTATAAAAATAATTGAATTTTCTATTATAGTCTATTTATCTATTAAAATTTTGTTTAAATAATTGAATTCCTTTGGAAAATTTTATTCAAATAGTAGATATTAAAAATCATTGAATAGAGGAAAATTTTTGAAAATAATTGAAATTTTGCCAAGAATTCTATTAAAATTTGTGAATATAATTGAATTTCAGAGAAGAGTTTAATTTTTTCTAAAGATAATTGAAATTTTGACGAGAATTTTTTTTTAATTTTAAAAATATTTGATTTTATATTTATTTTATATTTTTATATTTTAATATTATAAGTAAATAATATTTTATTAACTAATAAAAATTAAGCTACTTTTTTACTAACTAATAGTCACAACCAATAATAATTGGTTGAGAGAAATGTCTCTCTTTAAGCGTTGCACCAAAAACTTGAAAAGAGAATTTAAAGAAACAACGAAACAGAAATAAAACAATTAGCCAGAGGGAAAGGAGAGGAGATATCTTGTAAATCCGATAATAATGAATCTAACCATATTATACTTCTAATTCGAGGATTCTTCCCATAACTCCCTCTTTAATCTTTCAAGAATGTCCCACATTCGGGATAATTAACCACACAAGGAGAAAAAAAGTCAACAGGTCAGAGTCTGATCTTGTCTACTTTTATTATATAGAAAATAATGAAACAAGAACAAGAAGAAGAAGAAGAAGAAGAAGAAGAAGAAGAAGAAGAAATGGGGGTTAACTCAGAGAAATTAGGGGGCAAGTGCAGAGAAAGGGGGTTGAAGGAAAAAAGTGTTACAGGTCGAAAATAAAAATTAAAGGATCGTTCGATGGGTCGAATGTTATGTGAATCGAGGTAGAGAGCCGGAAGCGAACCAGGCAGCTCGATGTACCGCCACCTGCTGTATTGATCGTCCATTTACTCCATGATACCTTTTTGCGTGTATATCCGCCTTTATATTTATATACATATACATATATATAAATGTCTATAAAACTATTTGTTTATTTATAAAAATAAAAAATATTCAACTATATTTCTCTCTGAATTAAAACAAAAAGAAAATAAATGTATTTTTTTTTTACTTTTATATTGTCATATTTCACAGTAACAATTTTTCAATAGAATACAAATTGAAAAAATAGTTATAAAAAAATATTTATTCAAGAAATAAACAAAAAGGAAAATTAATATTTTAATGAATAGTATAGAAATTAATTAAATTATTATTTAACTGTTTTTGAAATGTCATTCCACTCTCTAAATCTAAATTACCCCCTAAATTTGAATCAGTAAAATTGTTTACTAATTTCAATTAGAGACTCATATTTTTGCTTTGAAATTAGTAAATTTTACTAATAAATAGTAATGTTTACTAACTTATTAGTAAAATTTACTAATTCAGGGTTGTCACAAAAATTTAATTTTGTTTTTCCCTAATTTCCATAGAAAATTTTGCATTTTTCCCTAACCCAAAAAAATATTCTGATTTACTCTAAAAATTATTGGATACTCAAAAAAATGTTCTATTACATTTATTTATGAACTTCTTTAATTGTAAAATTATTCGAAAACATCAATAACTTCTTTTTTAAATAAATATTTAATCATTATTATTTTTCTATAAAAATTAAGATTCTCAAATACAAACCTTCTGAAATTCAATAACTTATGATAAATTTAAGATGGCAGAGTGATAAAATAATTATTTTATATCATAAGACTATTTTAACTATAAATTCAAATTTTCAAAGATTTTAATTTTGAACCCTTTCCAAAATTCAATTATTTCTAAAAATTCACGCTATAATGCTTTTAATATTCAAATTATAATTTAAAATTTTAAGTAAAATTTATTATTTAATCAATTTTTATTAGAACATTTTTCGAGAATTTAGCAAAAAATTTTAAGAATAAAATCAATTTTCTATCATTTTATTTAAAATTGTATAAAAAATAATTAAAATTCTGCCATAAGATTTTGTTATTTATGAAAATAATTAAATTCTTGAAACAAATTTTATTAAAAATTTTTTTAAAGAATTGAAATCCTTGTGAAGAATTTTATTTGTGAAAATAATTTAATTTCAGAGAAAAATATTATTATGTATGAAAATAATTAATTTCTTGTGAAGAATTTTATTTAAAATCTTTTAAATCTCTCAGAATTTTTTAAAACTTTTTCAAACAAATTTAATTTCATCGAGAAATTTCATTAAAAAATTAAAAATAATTTAAATCTGACGAAGAATTTTATTAAATTTTTATTTTAAATAATTGAATTCCTGTGAAAATGTTTATTTTTGAAAAGAATTAAATTGTTCGGAAGAATTTTATCAAAATTTTTAAAAATAATTGAATTCTTTAGACAAATTTAAAAAAAATTTTAAGAATAAATGCAATTTTCTATCATTTTATTTAAAATTGTAAAAAAAAATCATTGGAATTCAGCGATAAGCTTTTGTTATTTATGAAAATAATTGAATTCTTGCAACGAATTTTATTAAAAAATTTTTTAAAGAATTAAATTCCTGTGAAAATAATTGAATTCCAGAGAAAAATATTATTATTTATGAAAATAATTAATTTCTTGTGAAGAATTTTATTCAAATTTTTTTAAATAATAATTGAATTTCTCTGAATTTTTTAAAACTTTTTCAAAAAAATTAAATTTTAACGAGAAATTTCATTAAAAAATTGAAAATAATTGAAATCTGACGAAGAATTTTATTCAATTTTTTTTAAATAATTGAATTCCTGTGAAAGTGTTTATTTTTTAAAAGAATTGAATTTTTGGGAAGAATTTTATTTAAATTTCTTAAATAATTGAATTGCTTCGAAGAATTTTATTTTTTACAAAAATAATTGAATTGTTTCCAAGATTTTTACAAACAATTTTTAAAATGTTCGTATTACAAGGAAAAAAGTTATATTTTACGAAAATAATTGTATTCTATGATCAATTTTATTATAATTTTTTAAATTTATAAAGCATTTTATCAAAATTTTTTTAAATAATTGAATTTTCGGGTAAAATTTTATTATTTATAGAAAATAATTGATTTCTTGCGAAGAATTTTATTCAAATTTTTTTAAATATTTGAATGCGCATAAAAAATGTATTATTTGTGTAAATAATTGAATTTTTAAGAAGAATTATATTGAAAATTTTATTAACTAAATCTTGTAAAGAATTTTGTCAAAATTTTTTTAAATAATTGAATTTTTAAAAGAATTTTATTTAAATTTTTCGAAATAATTAAATTTCTCAGAACTATTTTTTTTAATTCTCTAAATATATTTGAGTTTTTTCGAGAAATTTTATTAAAAAAAGTTCAATTGGCTCGAAGAAATTTATAAGTGTCATTAGCTTAGAGGTTAGAGCGTTAGTCTCCAAGTCCGTAGGTCGTGGGTTCGATTCCCCTCATGGGCACGCTTGTATATTTTCAGTATTTCGTTTTTTTCTATATATTTTATTTCTACCAAACATTGAAAATCTAATACATACACTTAATTGCAATTGCCTATTATTTAATTGAAATATTATTATTAAATATTTGTTTCTACTTTTATTTAAATTTTATTGTTTTTCTTATTCTGTGGATTTTCTCGAAATAATTGTTTTTTTTGTTTGTTATGTTACAGTTGGATAGGTTCAAAGAGCCACCTGCTTTCGGTCCCATGTGCGATATTCTGTGGTCAGATCCTTTAGAAGATTTTGGAAATGAAAAAAATGCAGAGCATTTTTCTCACAACAGTGTTAGAGGTTGTTCATACTTTTACAGGTAATTTTCCTTACAGATGCTTTTATATTGTCGTTTCTTTGCTTTTTCATTTCCCCTTTATTTTTTACTTCTTCCTATTTTTATTTCCTTTTTATTTTACTTACTTCATTACTGTTTTTTTATTTTACTCGATTTATTTTCTATTTTATTCTCTCCTTTTTATTACTATCATTCAATTATTATTACTACTACCAATATTACTACTATTATTATTATTATTATTATTATTTTTTTTTTTATTTCTATTATTATTTATTATTTTTACTATTTATTTATTTATATATAAACGGACAAACGCCTTTTCGTACATAAAGTACTAAGTGAAAATTAATATAATTATTATTATTATTATTATTATTATTATTATTATTATTATTATTATTATTATTATTATTATTATTATTATTATTATTATTATTATTATTATTATTATTATTATTATTATTATTATTAAATAATAATAATCATTCGAACCCGTATAAGATTGAAATAAAGTAAAAAATAAAATTACAAAATAGAAATAAATAATTAATATAACAATAAATAGTTTTTAATTGAAACAAAATTTTCACTTTGAAAAAACGGATATTTTTTAGTTGAAAAGAAAAATTTGCTGTAACGCTGTTTAACAGTTACGTAACACACGCGGCTTTTATAATGATAAAGAATCCAATTTTCGATTGAAAAAAAAATTGTTTATAAAACAAGAGTTTGCTTTTTGAAAAGTGGAGTATTTACAAAATAAATTCAAGCTTTTATCAGCGGTTTCTTTTACAATTATTTTGTGAATAAAAGTTTAATTTCTGTTCACTCAATAGCGAATTATTATTAAAAAAAAAAAAAAATAAAATTGTTTTTTGTTCTTTGTTCCTTTATAATTACTGAACAGCGCATTTAAATTATAAATAATCGATCGCAATAAGTACATGGGAAAAAATATTAAAGTAATTTTTACAAATTTTATAATAAAATTTTAACTATGAAAATAATGAAATTTATTTTAAGAATATAATGAAATTTATTACAAGAATAGTAAAAATTAACGCAAGGAAAAAAAAATTGCAGAAATTCAAAAAAAATATTTTTTTTTAGAATATACCGTAAACTTTACTATACTTTATTAGAAGTATAGTAAAATTTACCATACTTTATTAATTTTATTAGACTTCTAATAAAGTATAGTAAATTTTATTATACTTTTAATAAAGTATAGTAAATTGTATTATACTTTTAATAAAGTATAGTAAATTTTATTATACTTTTAATAAAGTATAGTAAATTGTATTATACTTTTAATAAATTTTACTATACTTTTAATAAAGTATAGTAAAATTTACTCCATTCATTTTTTTTCTTGTCTATAAATTCTTTTTCTAAATTAAGAGTTAAAATTAAATTTTTTTCCGCTTCAAAAGAAAAACTCTTATATTTACCTACATATTGAAAATAAATTTCCTCAACTGTTATAAATGTTTTTTTTGTAAACAAAGCATTATATATTAATTCAAATTTACCTTGAGATATATTTTGTATTTAGAAGTATAGCAGTTTTATAATCTCTTATCGCTAGTTTATTTTCTTGATATGAACTAATATTTGAGGACATATGTCAAATTTAAAGCAAAGCAAACAATTGTCAATTTGAACAAGCTAAAAGTTGTGTGCGCTGAAAATTATAATTCTACACAACAATAAATTATTTTACAAAGAAAAAACAATTTTTTTTTTATTTGCTCTTTATATTATGTTTAAAAATTGTTTATTAATCCTATTTTTATAAATTTCTATTCAATTACTTTATTAGTTAAAATATAGAACATTGAGTTAAGCTATCATAGCAAATCAATTTTTTTTTTTTTTTTTTTTTCTTTTTTTTAATTTGATAAAATATTAATTTTAGTATATTATTATTAATAATTCGGTATTTATTTAATAAGTTTTAGTAATTTTTATTTATTTTAGTGTTTTAGTATATTTATTAATCCATAGTGATAATAATAAAAATAATAGTTTTTTTTCTTTTTTTTTGCGTTCTGCAAGAGTAGTTAACATAAACTTCACAATAGAATGGCTTCAATCGGAAAGTTTATGAAAACAACAATAATTATAATACATTTCAATATTTTTAATTCGTTTAGTATTGGGGTAACTTGAGGTATTTTTTTTTTTTTTTTTTTTTTAATTTTTATAATTGTAATTAAAGAAGAATAGTAAAAATAATAATTTGCAAATTTTTTTTCTTTCAGTTATACGGCATGCTGTGATTTTCTCCAAAGTAACAATCTTTTAAGCATTATAAGGGCTCACGAGGCTCAAGATGCTGGTTACCGTATGTACCGTAAATCTCAAGTAACGGGCTTCCCATCATTAATAACCATCTTTAGTGCTCCAAATTATCTCGACGTATATAATAATAAAGTAAGTATTTTTAATTTTGTTCATTTTAATTCCTATTTTTGTCTATTTAAAAAAAATTACTTAATATTTTACTTTTAACAGGGAAGAAATGAGTAAAGTAACTTTTACCATACTTTCATAGTAAAGTTTAAACCTTGAAAAATTTTAGCGACTTTTTGTGTCAATTTTTACTATTTTCTATAAACAAATTTTACATCATTCAATAAATGAATTTTACATTTTACATTTTACATTTTTTTTTATAAAATTTCCAAATTTTGAAAATAGGAAAAAGTAACTGGAAATAAACTAAAAAGTAAAATTTGATTTTAATGTGAAAGTATCGTAAAAATTACTGCATTGCTTTCTTTTTCGTATCGTTAATTTAAAAAAAAAGGAATCAATTATTTTTTTCTACTTCAAGTTTAACACACTTGAACTAAAATAAAAGAAATGTAAATAAAAAATCGCAATTTTCTTTTTTAAGGCGGCTGTGCTCAAATACGAAAACAACGTGATGAACATTAGACAGTTCAACTGTTCACCACATCCCTATTGGTTACCTAATTTTATGGATGTTTTTACGTGGTCTTTACCATTCGTTGGAGAAAAGGGTATGTAAATTTTTCACCTCTCGCATTAAAAATGCCCCTCTCTTCTCTAACTTAAAAAAAAAAATTCCAAACCAATTTTAAAAAAAAAAAATGTTTGCAAACTAATTTTGAAAAAAATAATTATCAAATCAACAAAGTTAATTGCAAACCGCTTTTTTGTGAAATTTGCGAACTAATTTTGGAAAACAAAGTTTAAAAAACCAAACATCACAATGACAAAAATTTCCCATAAGAAAAAAAAAAATTTGCAAGCAATATTGCAAAAAATGTTGTTAACAAAAATTTTTTTAACGCCTTTCTTGTAAATTTTCAGTCACTGAAATGTTAGTAAACGTATTAAACATTTGTTCGGATGACGAGCTGATGAGCGACGGAGATGAGGGACTGGAAGAAGGTAATATCCGTTTTCATTTAGTATTCTCAATCTCTATTAAATACAATATTCTGTAATTATAAACAAACAAACAAAAAAAAATAGTCTCATAATTTCCAGTCTTTAAAATTTAACTATTCTCTTTTTTTTCATTCCATACTAATTATATAAAGCTCATAAAAGATGGACAAATTAGCGTTACGTAATTTACAATGCTGGAAAATAAAACAATTTTTTTTTTTTTTAATTTTACGCATTTCTTTATTAAACAATTTAGTAATTTTTAAGGGCATTTGAATCATTATGACGTCATCATCCTTTTTCATAAAAAAAAATTCATTAGCGCTTCTTTATGAAGGAAATTCAAAATTTCTTTCGTAATCACCCAAAATAGCATAACAAAATAGCTTAAAATATTGTCGATAATCAATTTTAAAAAAGTTGCAAAAAGTAGCTTTAAGACTGAAAAAAGTAGTAAAATAAGTAGCTATCGAAAAATTAAACTCAATGACTCAATTTTTTCATGATTTAAAATTTAAATTTACATTCAAAAATAGAATAATTTTTTTCAAAAAAATATTTAAATAACTATTTATTTTTCCAGAGGAATTCAAATATTTTAACTAATTACAATGTAAAGCCTTTTTGAAATTTTAAATATTTAAGTTACAATTAAAATTTTCAAAACTTTCAATTTAAAAATCTTTTGAAATTTAATTATTCGAAAAATTTTTACTATTATAATGCTTCTAATATTCAATTATTTTTAAAAGTAATAAAATTCTTTTCAAGAATTCAATTATTTTTAAAAATTTGAATTGAATTCGTTAAAATAATTCAATTATTTTCATAAATAATAAAACTCATCGCAGAATTTCAATTATATTTCATACAATTTTACATAAATTTCTCGAAAAAATGCAATAATTCTGAAAAATTTTATTAAAATTCTTGGAAAAATTCAATTATTTAAAAAAATGTTGATATAATTATTTATGTATTAGAATTTAATAATTTTGTTCTATACACTTTTAATTAAATTTCTTAAATGAATTTAATTATTTTCAAAAATTATTCATAACAATTCAAGTCTTTCTAAAAATTTTAATAAAGCCCTTTATAAGAATTCAATTTTAAGAAATATTCAATTATTTAAATAGAAAAATAAATAATTTATTGAATAATTGAATGTATCTAAAAATTGAATTGTTATGAAAAGATTTATAAATTTTTTTTTAAATAATTGAATTGTGATAAAGAATTTTCAAAAAAATTTTCGCAAATAATTAAATTCTTCCAAGAAATTGAATTAAAAATTTATTAAAAATAATCATTAAATTCTAATAAACAAATTATATCAAAAATTTTTTAAAATAAATGAACATTTTTGTAGAATATTAATGTTTTTTAAGAATAATTGCATTGTTTTCGAGAGATTCATTTAAAATTGTATTAAAAATAATTGAAATCCTGCGATGTGTTTTATTATTTATGAAAATAATTGAATTCTTGCAATGAATTTCATTGAAATGTTTATTAAATTATTGAATTCTTAGAACGAATTTTAGTAAAATTTTTAAAAATAATTGAATTCCTGAGACGAATTTTATTATTTATAAAAATAATTGAATTCTTGTGAAGAATTTTATTATTTATAAAAATAATTGAATTCTTGTGAAGAATTTTATTATTTTTAAAAATAATTGAATTCCTACAACGAATTTTATTAAAATTTTTAAAAATAATTGAATTTTTGTAAAGAATATTATTATTTATAAAAATAATTGAATACTTGTGAAGAATTTTATTATTTTTAAAAATAATTGAATTCCTGAGACGAATTTTATTATTTATAAAAATAATTGAATTCCTGAGACGAATTTTATTATTTATAAAAATAATTGAATTCCTGAGAAGAGTTTTATTATTTATAAAAATAATTAAATTCTGACGACGAATTTTATTAAAATTTTTAAAAATAATTGAATTCCTGAGAAAAATTTTATTATTTATAAAAATAATTGAATTCCTGAGAACAATTTTATTATTTATAAAAATAATTGAATTCCTACGACGAATTTTATTTAAATTTTTAAAAATAATTGAATTCTTGAAAAGAATTTTATTTTTTATAAAAAAATAATTTTATTCCTGTGAAGAATTTTATTATTCATAAAAATAATGGAATTCTTGAGGAGAATTTTATAGAAATTTTTTTAAAATAATTAATTATTTCAACCAATCTTATGAAAATTGTGTTTGAAATAATTGAATTCTTGTGAAAAATTTATTATTTATGAAAATAATTGAAAGTTTGCAAAGAATTATGTAAAAAGAAATTTTAAATAATCGAATTCTTTTGGGAAATATTTTATAAAAATCGAGATAAAAATAGTATAGGTATTAAAAATAATTGAATTTTAAAAACCTTTTTGAAAATAATTGAATCGTTTGAAAGAATTTTTTATGAAAATTAAAAATTGTTTCTAGGAATTTTATTCAAAATTTTGAGAATAATTTGTTTATTCCATCTGTTAATTAATTTAAAGTAGAGAAAATTCTCAAACATAGAAAAAAGTTTCTTTTAAAATAAAAGGAAATCGAAAAAAAAATCGAAGAAATATTATCTAAATAGTAGCGAATTGTAAATAATTTAGAATTTAGTAAATTATTTAACAACTTATTTCTTGGATTTAGTAAATGAGTACTAATTCTGAATATATAATTTTTATAATATAATATATTATCTCTTTATCAGACAATATTGAGCTAAAATGTTATCCTATTTAGACATACACATATTTTTCTTCCAAAATTTTTAATATTTATCTGTTATTTTTGAAACATTGCTTTCTTGGACAGATGGTAAGAGAACAATTGAATTTACTATTCATTACATATATTAAATCGCTTTAAATAGAAATAATTATAGTTTCTTTTCAGTTGAACTTACGTAACTAGAGTTTATTTTTCCGTATTTCAAAAAATAATACAAAATTATTTTTCTTGAAAGTCAAAAAAAAAAAAAAAAAAAAAAACTCTAGTTTCGTTTTGCTACATACAATAATAGTATTGATGTATTTAATTTCTTTTTCAATCTCAAATTAAATATCGTTTTACTTCCACTTCACTTACAAGCATCCATGATACACATTTCCAAGTATATATATATATAAGTCCATGAACAATTCTCTTGTGAATGGAGATCCCTCACAAAATTTTATAATAAAGTACTTTTTTCCACCCCTCTTTTGCACTTTTCTAGATTATTTTTTTCTCTCTTAATATTCTTAATAAATAAGGAAAAAAGAAAATAAAATATCTTCTTCTTCTTCTTCTTTATCTTCTTTTTTGGAAAATAATTAAAGAGATAATTTTCTGAATGGTTAGATTGTCTATCGATTTGTTTCGTCTTTTTATTTTAATGGTACATCACTAAGAGCATGTGCACTGTGACGTCTCACGAAATTAAATAACTAATATTTCAGAGATGAGAAAAAAAGAGATCAATTTCCGATAAAGTGACACAGGGTTTTTAGAATATCAGTTTTGAAAATAATAATCTAGTCTTGAAAGGGAACGAGAATAATTGATGAAACCCTATTTTCTCTTTCGGTATAAATTATATTTAAAATAGGAAAGTCATTCAACATTTTTAAAAGTACTCGATACGAACTACAAAAAAGAAATTCGTTTTTTTATTTCTATTGGAGTTTTTTTTTCTATTTGTAAAAACTGAGAGGTATTTGCTTCAGTAATGTAGGCAATTTAGTTAATATTTTGGCAGTAAAGTAATAAATTTAGACAAGTAGCGAAAAATCTAGTTAAAATTCACATTTTTCCTTAATTTTTTCTTCCTTTTAGTAATTCTTCATTTACAGCAAACGGACAACTGACAAAATTATAAGGAAATCAGAAATATTTTAAATTGAAAATCTTTTATTAAAATATTCACAGACGAAATTATTATTCCAAATTTAAGAAAATATTTCTCAAAATTAACATAAAATAAAAATTCTTAATTTATAAGAATAGACCATTTTTTTTAATTTTTACTATTAAATTAAATATTACCTTTGCAATATTGCAAAGTAAATTAAATATCAAATTTTGTATATTAATTTGAAATTTTAAATTCAATAAAATATTTTAAATTTAATAAATTCAATAAAATATTTAAATTAAATGAAATTAATATTAGATTTGCAATATTAATTATATTAAACATTAAATTTGGAAGATTAAATTAAATTAAACTGTAAATTTCGAATATTAAACTAAATATTAAATTTGGAATAACGAACCAACAATATAAAAGAGACTATAGATAAAAAGTTTTCACACTGACCAAAAAAAAAAAAAAAAAAAAAAATAGACAATGAACACTGACATTAATTGTTACGGAAATGTTTCATTTACGGTTGTAACAAATTACCGCAAATTTCCAAAAAATTTAGTTCAAATTTCCAGTGAATCGAATAGAATCGAAATTCATGAAAACTAATTTCAAATACAGAGAAGTTTTGTTCAACAAAATTTTTACCCAATTAAAATTTAAACAATTTTATAGAATTGTGATTAAAAAAAAAATATTAAATTTATATTCAATTGAATTTATATTCAGTTAAATGCCTAAACATTTATTTATTTATTTATTTATATTTATTTAGGTTTGTAAAAATGTTTACAAATTTGAACTAGTGACTGAAATTATGCTTTTCAATTAGTAAATTTAATTAATAATTTCGTAGAAATTACTATACTTATTAGTAAAATTTACTAATTCAAAAGCAAAAAGTCAGTCACTAATATTCAAGTTAGTAAACATTTTTACAAATCCAAATTAGTAAGTTTTACTAATAAATAGTAATTTCTGTTAATTAATTAGTAAAATTTACTAATTCAAAAGCAAAAAGTCAGTCACTAATTTAAATTAGTAAGCATTTTCAGTAATTCAGATTTAGAGAGAAATTTATATTTAATTGATTTAAATTTATTGTTTTAATTTAATTTCATTGAATTTATATTGGTTCAATTTATTTTATATTTAAAGTTAAATTAAATTAAATTAAATTTATCTTTAATTTAAATTTTAATTAGATTTTATATTTCCCTTAAATTTATATTCAATTTATTTAATTGAATTTATATTAAAATGATATTTAACTGATAAATTGCTAATAATAAATTTAAATTTAATAATTTTTGAAATAATTGCTTATTGTTGTATTTTCCAAAAAAAAATTTTCTCAAAAATAACACGCACTGGGTCTGAAAGACCTTTTTTTGTGTTTATCACTAAATTTTCTTTTCAGAAAATTTTTTCTAATATTTAGGAATTCGATTTTGAAAAATATTGTCCAAATTATTGAATTTCCCTTTTAGTTCTTCAATCTTTGAAAAAATTTGTTTAAAAAAATTTAATTTTGATTTAGAGTTTCGATTTTTGAAAATTTCTCCCATTAAATGCTACCTATTTTTATTATTAAAAATTCCATTTTTTTTTTTGAAAATTTTATCACTGCGAAATTTTTTTTTTTAATAATTAAAATTTTTGAATAATCCTTAAAAAATGCAATTTATTTAGAAATTCGATTTTTGAAAAATTTTGTCAATTTTTGGAAAATTTGTTTTAAAAAATCCATCTGGAAGCATTTCCTAAAATTTTTTCCATAGTGACTTTTGGGAAACTTCCGGAATTGTTGCCCGGAAAAAATTTGGAATTTTCCCGTGAAATTTTGTAGAAAATTTTCGGAATTTTTCCTAAAGTTTCTTAGAAGCGACCTTAAGAAATTTTCCTGAAATACTTCCAAACTGAATGCATAGAAGAAAAAGAAAATTCAATGACAAAAATTTTCCAAAAAACCGAATAACTGAATTTTCTTTTCCTGTCTTACTATCTTTTTCAATTTAATATTTAAATTGAAAAGACAGGAAAATTAAATTCAGAATTAATTAACCAATTATTGGTTAATTAATCTTTGTAAATGAAAAAAATGTCATTTTTAAATTACAAAAAAAAATTGCCATTTTTGAGGAGAGAAAAAAAAAAGTTTAAAAATAAAAAATTCGACTTTTGGAAAATAGGCTAAACACTGGAAATTTGGATACATTATTTTCGGTCGATTATACTTTTTATCGGTTACTTTATTTTATCATATATCAAAAACATCTTTATTTTTTTCTTTTTTGAAATTTTTTTTTTTTTTTTTTTTTTGGTTCTTATAAAGAGTAATTTTTCCAAAAATTCTTTTTTAGTTTCCTTCAGGAATTTTCTCAATTTGATTGGTATTTTCTCGAACAGAAAAAATGCACTGACTGTCTTTTATCGTACTCCTTTTGTATTATATTTATATCAATCACACTGGTCTTGGAATCCTCCTATCTTGGCACGACACTATGCTACTACCTGTACTACTTCTACTTCTACTACTTCTACTACTACTACTACTACCTCTACTACCTCTACTACCACTCAAAACTCCGTTGTTCGGCAAATGCAACTACGTTAAGTCGCAGCCAAAGTTGTTGTCCAAAAAAAGAATGGTAAGTCCGCCTGACGACTTACTTGACGCAAAAAAAAAAATACTAAGAAAAAGCGTACAAATTTTGTATTTTAACAAAACTCGTGAACAAGCGCTGACACGTTCAATGTCGTTGAACCTCGTTTTTTTTCTGGAGCCAAAATAACACTTTTTTTCTATTATTACGTGAACGAAAAAATAACAAAAAAACGTGCACAAAAATATTTTTACAAAAAAAAAAAAAAACCGAAGAGAAACAATTTTCTCATCTTAGCTTTTCGGAAAAAATTAAAAGAAAACAAAGTCTAATTCTATTTTTCAATTTTTATACAATTAAACAATTATAAAAAATTAATTTCTATTTTCTACTTCACTAGGTCCGCCGGTGTTAAAATATTTTGAAATTTCTATTTTTATATAATTGAAAATTAAAACTATGAAATATATTTTTATAATAAAATTAAAAAACTGTTATAGAATTACTAATTATGATTGTTATTATAATTTACATATTGTAATCATTAATTATAATTATTAATTAATTTATAATAATTTTTATAGTTTCTAATTATAATTATTAATTTATTATAAGTAACTTACAGTAATTATTAATAATAATTTTTACAGTTTCTAATTATAATTATTAATTATTAATTTATAATAATCAATAAAATTATTGTTACAGTTTATAATTATAATTATTAATGTATTGTAATTACTAATTATAATTGTTAATTTTTTATAATTTATAATAATAATTACTAAATAATTAATATTTAATAAAAATTTATTAGAATTATTAAAAAATTGAAAATTTGTCTGAAAAAAATTGAAAGAAAAGATACAAACTGATAAAAGATCAAACTAAGGTAAAATTAAAAAAAAATTCAAAGTTTCAAAATTGAAATAAGAAAATAATTTTTAAAAAATGATTTGAGCTCCAGAATTATATATATACGAATTGCGACAAGAACGTTCTACGCAACTAAAAACAGCTTGTTTTTCTGACGCGTGCGCAGTAACAACAATTTTCAATCTTGAATGAAATATTAATCGCCAGTCGAGTAAATTAATCTTTTCGTTTTATTTTACACTGCCGCCTATAATTTTCTTTTCATGAAAAATTTTTTTTTTTTTATTTCCTACTTGCATTATTATAATACACTGCTATCGCGCGATTATACATTATATGCGCCGAACTCTCACACAAATGCAAGTCAATCACGTGCCCCTAGATTTGTAATAACAATTTAGACTATTTTCAATTTTTTTTTTTTTTTGACCCCGTTTTTTGAGACAATTTTGGTTTTTCTTTCTATTTCGAATATTTCTAACCAATTCGGGTGTAGAGAGAGAAAAAATAATAAATTTGTTAACTTTGGCTCATACGACGTAGAATTTGCACTCTCTTCTTTCCTTGTATACTAACTACTTTCTAGTATTTTGAAAAAATTCTTCTTTTTGGGTCAGAATTTTTCTCTTTCAATTAAGAATTTAGATTTTTTTAAATTTTTTATTAAATTACTATTTTTTTTTTCTTGTTTTTCTAATATTTTTTTTCTAATAAAAAAGTAGTTTTTTAAGTAATCGAAATAGAAAGTACATTTTTCAGTAATTTGGAATTCTTTTTTCTATTTTGAAAAACCAAAAACTATTTTTTAATAAAAATGTAATTTGCAAAATTTTTCTAGTAAAAATATTTCTTCATTTATGAATTAAACAAACGATTTTGCTAATTTATGAAGTAAAGGAAAATTTTGCTAATTTGGAAATTAAAGAATTTTTTTGCTAATTTATAAAAAAAAATTAAATAGAAATTTTGCTAGGTTATAAAGTAAAGAAAACTTTTGCTAATCAAATTTATGTAGAAAATTTTTTAGAAAATTGTTGCTAACTTAAAAAATTAGAGAAAACTTTTGCTACTTTATGCGAAAAACTAAAGGAAACTTTTGCTAATTTATGTAAAACATTAAAAAATCCTTTTGCTAATTTATGTAAAAAATTAAAAAAAACATTTTGCTAATCGAATTTACGTAAAAGAATTTATGAAAATTGTTGCCAATTTAAAAATTTAAAGAAAATTTTGCTAATTTGTTAATTTACTTTACTAATTTATAAACTAAAGAAAACTTTTTCTAATTTATGGAAAAAATTAAAGAAAATCTTTTGCTAATTTATAGAAAAAAATTAAAGAAAAATTTTTCTAATTTATAAAGGAAAAAGATAACTTTTGCTAATCAAATTTATGGAGAAGAATTTAAAAATATTGTTGCTAATTTAAAAAGAAAAGGAAAATTTTGATAATTTACGCCAAAAATTAAAGAAAACTTTTGCTAATTTATTTTTAAAAATTACAGAAAAATTTTGCTAATTTATAATCTAAAGAAAACTTTTGCTAATTTATATGAAAAATTAAAGAAAAATTTAGCTAATCGATTTTACGTAAAAGAATTTAAGAAAATTTTGCTAATTTATAAATTAAAGAAAACATTTTGCTAATCAAAAAAAAATAGAAAAAATTGTTGCTAATTTATAAATTAAAGAAAAATTTTGCCAATTAGATTTACGATAAAGAATCATAGAGAAAATTTTGCTAATAATTTCATGTAATATTTAAAAACTGGCCCAATTCAAAATTCGAAAAAACTATCCAAAAAATTTTTTTTGAGTGGTGTCTTGAAATTTAACCCGATTTTCTTTCGTTTTCTATAAAACAAAAATAATCTGCATGCGTTTCACATATTATTAAATTTTGTATATTATATATATACGAAAAATGTAATTCCTTTGCAAAAAAAAATTCTTATTACTGCACATTTTTCTTAAAAATTTATAGGAAATACGACGACTCATCTCTCCATTTAGAAATACACATTTTGTAATCATCTTTTCAGAGTACATGAAAAAATTCAAAATTTATTAACAAAAATATTAAAACTCCTAATTCAAATAGAATGAAAAAAATAAGTACCCTATACTGGAACAATGTTTCTAAATTACAAAAAAAGAAAATTGAAATTGACCTTCAAAACAATACTTTATTCATAAATTAATATTTTATAATTTAAAAAGAAAAAACTTTTTAAATTACCAATCCTTTTTATTCATAATCTCCTGATTATTGTTAGTAATAGAAAAATAGGGTAAAAAAAATTTCAATAATTTACAATGTTCACCAAAATGTAATATATATCATCCCATCCTTCCTGTCATCAATCCAAAAAAATTAAATATTTTCTTTTCGTTTTTGTTATTTTTTTATATCTAATCATTTTTTTTAAGAAATGCGTTTTTATAATATATTTAATTGAAGTTAATTAATTTCTTTATGCATGAGAATTTTTTCAATTTGCTTCAATTACACTTATCGATTTAATATATAAGTATATTATATTATTAATATAAATAAGTGCGTTTTTGCAATTGATTTTCAAAACAGAGAAAAAATAATGCAATGCAAAAAAAAATCGAAATTTTAATTTTCCAGAAAAACAATTTCTTTATGAAAATATTTCTTTCTAATAATTTAAATGAAAAACTGTCTCTCATTAATTCTTTAGATTAAAGAAATATTTTATCTAAAATTAAGATAATTTTATACAGGAATTTTTGACATTTTTACTTTAAAAGATAAATTAAATTTCGATTTTTAATACGTTTGCAAAAAAGCTTTATAATTAAACAGAAAAAAATTTAGGCATCTTATTAAAATGCAATATTTTTAATTTAAACTTAAACTGGAACTGAAATTTTTTTTGTGCATTTTTGTGTCAATTTTTTTTTACTCTCTAAATTTTAATTGGTAAAAATATTTACTACTTTGAATTTGTAACTGACTTTTTGTTTTTTAATTAGTAATGTTTACTAATAAATTAGTATAGAAATTACGATTTGTTACTAGTAAAATTTACTAATTCAAAAACAAAGAGTCAGTCACCAATTTAAATTAGTAATTATTTAAATAATTATTTTTACTAATTCAAATTTAAAAAGTAGAAAAATTGTAAATAAAGTAAATTTTACTAATTTTTACTAAAAGTTAATTGCAAAATAATAAAAGTTACTCCCGAGCAAATTTCGTTGAGTAAATTTTACTTAAAAAAATTATTAGTAAAATAATAATATAATAATAAAAAAAATATAATAAATAAGTAAAATTTATCCAGAACATAATTAAAAAAAATTGATAAAAAAATTGCAGAACTTTGTGACAAGTTCACAATTTCCAAATTTATAATTCATTTTTTAAATTTTTTTATAAAAATATTCATTCCGTCATTTTAAAAAGTTGCTTACACTTTTTTCTGTATAATATATTTTTAAAAATTCTTAAATATAAATTAATTTTAATTTTAAACTCTTTCGACAATTATAATTTTTATTATAATAATTAATCAGTGATTGAGAATATATACTTTTAATTTTCATTAATATAGTTAATTACATGTATGTTATAATTATAAGTTTACAGAAAATTTCAGTATATAAAAAAATACATTAAGAAAAAATGCACTTTGGTCAGTAGTATGCGCTTTAGAAAAGTCAAATAAAAAAATTATCATAAAAATTTTCGAATATTTAGTATATTTTTAATTGAAGGTAAAAGTATTCAGCTTTTTTAATTTCTTAAATATTTTCAAAAAATAAATTGAATGCGCATGTTTACTGATTGAAAATACACTTTTTATTAACGTATTTTTAATAATTTAATCTAATTTTTGAAAGCACTATTTTTAATAGACAATAATAATTATTTTGCGCTGGCTGCGGCGATTGTTTTGAATATTATTTTACTACTACATTTACAGTAGTAATTTTTAATTGTTTAATTACAGTAGTAATTAATTCATTAATTCTTTAATAATCAGTAGATTAAAAAATTACTATTTTGTAAAAAAATTTATAATTTGAAACTATTTTCGGATTTTTTAATTTTAAATTATTTGAATTAATACATTTTTTAATAGTTGTTATTAGTATTTCATTATTAATTATTAATTTATCAATTATTAATCATTAATT